TGAACAAACAAACTACTAGAGTATTTTCGCAATAATTATATGACTATCATGGTAGTAAAACATTACGATATTCAATGAATAAATATTTAATTATAATAGTATTAACATGATTTCATAATAAAAATGCTATTTATTCAACTCTATTTTCAACCACTTTAAGCATTGTAAGTGTTTAAAATTATTCCTAAAACAGATTTAATAAGAAGCTTATTTCCAGTAGGTACTAAGATTTTCACGTTGATGAATAATAAAGCTTCCATTATAAAAAGAAGGCATTAGTAGGATGATATCGGTTCAAGGACAAAGTACCTTTCCTCACTGACCAGCTTGAAGGAAATCAAGTTTTTAGGTTTTCGCGTTACGTATTGGAAATGGAGTAACTTTTTGGATTTAAATCGCAAATATTTGTTATTTCCAACAAACCAACGTTTCGGTCCGTTTACAGTTCCCATGGTCACGGATGAATCTACACGAAATTTCTTAGTTTGTTTGAGAAAACATACGCGATTTACCAAAAAATAGTTTCGTTTTCAACTAGCATGAAGCAAATTATTTAGGGTAACGTATTTTAAGTTTAATATTGCACTGTAACTCCTGTCAATCGCGTTCTATGAACGAGTTATATTCACATGTAGCGGGCATTGATCTATAGGTCAATGGTAGCGGGCATCAAATGTGCTAATGTCAAAGACGCGCGTAATAAATAAATATAAGAGTTTACCAACTATAATAAAATGAGTCATCTGTCAACCAGCACTTAACTATTTCTATAACTATGGTACACTGGTGATTCCGACTAATGAGTCATCGATCAACCAGCGCCTCATTTATTTCTACTACCATGGAACACTGGTGATCCGGACTACATAACATCATCATGGCGCACTGGTGACCCCACCTGAAAGAAACACTAGTACAATGGTGTACACATGCATGTTGAAAACAATACTATCAATAAACGAAACTCTCGCTTTTTCATATTTATACTTAATTTCAGAAGTTTTAAAGGCCATTTTCCAAAGGTTGACGTGTTTCTCAGTTACCGCAAAAATGTCGGAAATGGCAGTTACTGAGTTGAGAAACGATATCAGATATTCCAAAAGAACTTCTAGTTATCAGACGACACACAAAAAGACGTTATTATTCTCCTCAGAGCAAGTTCAAATTATATTATTGAATTTGCCCGTGAGAGCAGGTAACAAGGAGAAACGGTCGCCTACTCGATAACTCTCCATTTGCCCGGACCCAAGGGCCTTTGAGACTCGATATTTTATCAACTTTACGGTTTAAGTATAATGGGCGATATATGAATAGGGAAAATTACTTCCTAGATTTTTTCCTGAAATTCTATCGAATTATGTTAACGCTGTATCATGTGAAATCCCCGTTGATGTCCAACGGGCAAACACGCAGTCTGATTTAGAAAAATGAATAGCAGAAATGATGGTAAAAATTTAACAAGCTTAACGTGTCTTGGTGATCGACTCTACGTTGAGAAAGAAGTGATTTACATTTCAGTTATACGATACAAAAGTGTGAAACAGAGTCCAAAAATTTCATTACTTATGTGCGTATAGGTAGGTTTTAGTAAGCAATAGAACTCCCTGTGAACGAGTTCATCAGAGAAATACTGCCACTTTACCTACTTCTGCTGCCAAGCAGTAATGTGAGCATCACTACGTTTCGAAGGGTAAAGGTGCTGGTGAAATTACCTACAGGCACATGGGACTTATCAATTTATATCTCATGGTAACGGGCACAGTACCCCTAAGATCTTTGTGATTTAAAGCTTTGAGTGGCAATCTAACTGACACTTGGTATCACAAAAAAAGGTATTGTACTAGTCGTTCAGGGCGCATAAATAGGCAGCGCGTACGCGCGTATGCACATGCACACACAATCATACGTTACATTTTGGTAGACAGAAAATGGATTAATTACCTTTGAAAATTATCCATCACAAACCAATGTAATAGATAAAAATATTTTACCTACAAAGCAAACCAATGAAATTAAAAGTCATCAAATTACGCGGTGCGTAAACGGCGAATACTTGCGTATTAGGCCAATATGCAAATACGCCCTCAATCAAACGCTGACGCCCCAAATGGGCCTATTTACGGAAAGACAGAGTCGTATTGTTGGTAAACGGTAACAATGCGGCAAGTAAATAAATATTGGCACAATTTATCTATATGTATTCTACACTAGATAGTTTACATCTCTTGAATTATTCTTCAAATGATAATGACAGTACAGGCGAATGCACATTCGTAAGTTCATTAATAGACGTAATTGATTAACGACTATAACTTTTTTTTTAAACTGACCTCAAAAGTTCGTGGAATCACATCTATTTGCCAAGTTTTATTGGAATCGGTTACCTGAAAGTGTGCTAAATTGGATTCACCCGTAGTTTGCCACCCTTAGCAGTGGAATATTTTTTCAAATTTTCAATGGGACCTATATTGAGGTACCCTCTTTCCAACAAAAAAAGAATCGTCACAATCGGTTCACAAATACCGGAGTAATCGCGTAACATAAACACCAAAAAAAAAACCATCGAATTGAGAACCTCCTCATTTTGCGAAGTCGGTTAAAAATATGTCAAATGTACAGTCAAGAGCTCAGCTATACACTTTGGATTTGACTCAATGCGAAGTTAAGTGCACTGTATAAAACCAAACTGATTTTGTTTTTTACAAATGCCAAACAATTTAACAAAGAGAGACGGTGGACAGGCAATTAATTTTAACGCTTCGACTAAAATACACAGCAGCTTTTACGGCAAATTGTATACGTTCATAAATTACAAATAATCGCTGTCCTACCTGTGACAGTGCTTAATAGGTTTATCGGGATTATTTCGTTAATATCATAGCAATGAATGTTTTAAATTATATTACAAGACAATCTTTTGTATTCAACCTAATAAAAAGAAACTCGTAAATTGATTTACGATTGAAATAGAAAATGAGTTATTAAAAAGCTTCTACACAATTCTGTGTTCTGTAAATAATTCAAAATATAAATTTATCACATTAATAGGAAAATTATATAATAATATAATTTTCATAATATATAATTTATGTAATAATATATAATATTCAACACAAGCGCAGCTATTTTGCACGATTTAACCTTGTCACTGGGTTCGCGGAGTAGCAAATTAATTTACTTCCATTTTTATTAACATGGACTTCCGAAAAGTAACGCCTGAATCTATTAATTACTAATAGGAAATATACAATAGTTTTTTCAGGATTCTTATGTGGAACAGAGTTAAGAGCTTTAGGTATGCTTTTCAGTGAAGAAATTGAACTTTTTCTGTATTAAATTGCGTTGTTATAAATGCGCAATTCCAGCACAATTTTTGACTTTTATTTATACGTGAATTATGTGAGTTAATTCTCCGAATCAATTATTGTTTCATCCGCATACTTTTCTATTTCATTAATCCGCATCAATAATTCCGCATGTTTCTTCGCATTCACTAACCTTTTAAAGGAAAACGACAGTTCTTTTACTTAACAGTATTTACACGGTTAGTGTTTTTTCCTATGGTCATGTAAATTTTAAAAATGGGCAAAATCACCTTAATAATAATAATGTCATTCATACACAGCCTTCTAAATAAACTAGAAATAGAAGGGTTCTTAGGTTTTCGCAATTATTACACATAGGAAATGAAACTATTTTTTCCGACCTACATTGCGCATATTTGTTTTTCAAATAAACAAACGTTTCGGGCCTTTTACAGGTCCCGTGGTCGCGACTGACATGTCCTTTTGAAAACAACAAATATACGCGATGTAGATCCGAAAATAGTTATAATAATAAATATAAATATTAGGCAACATACACACCCAGACCCGAGGCAAAATAGAAAAATTAGTTTCTACATTGGCCCGGCCGGGGATCGAATCCGGGACTTCAGAGATGGCGACACCGTGAAAACCGTTGTGCAAACCACTGGACCACGATGTTGACTGGACCCACCGTGTGATTTTTATGAAAATCATGTAAATGTCATAGTGGACTTAAACTGCTATCTACAGTACAACAATAAATATTTTAAGAAATAAAGTGCAATAAATATTATTATCACGTAATGTGTGGTAAGAATACGAAAAAAATATATTATTTATTATAAGTTCTGCGAATGAATTACTTTGCTTCCAACTTTCGCCTGTAACCACGCGTATAATTGCATTTCGTGTTCTGTACCACGTGACATACTCATTAATGTTCCTATAAGATATATTATATAAAGATTTGTTAGTGATGTATTATTACCGTAGTTTGTTTCTTAAGAATTTATAACAAAGTACGTTGACATTAAGACCATTAATTAACCGGACGACAGCGAGCGGCGACGGCGACGGCGACGGTGCGGTGGCGAAAGCGATGCGGGCGATACGCGACAAAAGTGACGTGTTCTTAACGCCAGTGACTAGATCGCTTGGTTTTCAGTGGTAAAGTGACGTGACGAGAGTGTGAGCGCGATATCGATACTGTGACGTGACCTTTTTTTTACCGTGAATTCTTTTATTCTGTTTGATTTATTATGGACGCAAGATGTGAACCCGTATTACAAACAAAGAAAGCAAAAAGTCGAGTTTCGCCGTAGTTGCGAAGACTGTAGACAAAATCTAGAATGACCGTAGAAACGTTTGACTTAGTCTTGTAAATGTTTAGCCAGAATTCGAATCACATTCCTCTCTTTATAGTAATTAATAATCCTTCCATTTTTTTGGGCGATACGTTTGCTGTTCCAATTTGGTGGCCTTTCCAAAACTGCTGAAATATTACCTCCGACGACATCTCTAAATTTGATTGATTGAAAAATATGTGTGAATAAGCAACAAAATGACACTATGATTATTCGAAAGTGCATTCACCACCCGAGTACCGACGCCTGCACAGTTGCCGTCGAGGACAGCGTAATTATGAAACTTAAATATTTAGATCAATTCGCGCAAGCCACCACCCGCATCGCTGTCGTCCAGTTTGCAGCCAGACGGCATCTTTGGCTTGTTCGACCTTTCAAAAATTGCCAGAGCTAATGGTATTGCACATCCAGAAGGCGAGGTGTTGGTAAAGTTTTTAACTAGCAATAATCGCACCTCGGATTAACTTTATCGGTACGATATTACCTCTGCGAAATGTTGGCTCGAGCTGGAATCTTATCGAAAATTATAGTTCCTCGTGATAGCAGTGCTAGCGCGTTATAGCTCGAATATAATCTGCCCTCCCTGTCATAAACATCGTATTTGCATTTTGGCAACCATCGACGTATTGACACCTAAAGACTTTTTCTTTGAAAAATGTTAGTTGCGCATTTTGCTAAATAAAACTGTAACTAAATAAGATATTAAAAAACCGCCTATAGAGAATTGTAGATCTCGTTTCGCAGATTCCAGTTATGTTAATAACTCAATTTCGCTAAAAATGCCGATTACGTTGTTTATGACAAGGAAAGACAGACATACAAACCAATATTAGTAATACAAAAACGAGCGATTCGTTCTGTGTACCGTTTGCGCCCAGTTACACGAGGAGAAAGGTTTCGCGCGACCGCCCAGTTCTTCCAGCAGTTCGCCCAGCGTCTTCATGTACATTAATGGCGAATCAGAATTCTATTCACTAGGCAACAACATTTAAATTCTTTTGAATACATAATACAAGCCGCCGCGCGTAGACCAAATTTAAGCCAATCTCTCCCGCGAGCCTGTGTCCCTCATTTAAGTTAAAACATAAAAGCTACATAAATAGAGCATATTTGCCATAACTGTTAGACGCACGCGGTCGCTGTGCAGCGGCAACACGGACTCCACTCCGTTCGGCGGAGGCGGGGTGAGCGCGATAAAATTCGTGTCGAATAAATGCGTCCTTTAGGTTCTCGAGCTGCTCTCAGATAACAGTTTAAGGGAACTGGTATAATGACTGTGGCATCACAGTACATTTACTCAAAAATTTTGTATGCCCGTAGAAATATTCATAATTTAATTAAGAAAGAAAATGCCCATAATATTAATTTTAGAACTAAATCCAAACTCGTGGTACTACGATTCCTAATTATGGTAAACGATTCTATTTTAAGGGGAACTGTATACGTTTTTACAATAAGGTTCCGGAGCACATATTAAGATTATCATTTTCTAAGTTTCAAATCTATATGAAAAATGTTTTAATTGAAATGTCATATTAAAAATCAAAATCAAAATGTTTTATTGAGTCTTAGAGGATGGAAAAAAAATTATTGAGTACATGTTACATAGGTCTTAAATTAGTCAGTACAGATCAAACATGAGCGATGTAGGCCACAGGAATTTCAATTCTGTATAAATCTAAAATTGTATTAGAATTAACCACATTTTTATTTCATTAAAAATAAGATTAATAAAAAATATACAAACCGTCTGAAGTAAAATTAAATGTAAATATAGTCTCTGTGAAAAAGTTGATTTCAATTTTATTTTGTGATGAACTAATCACCAAGTTATTTTGAAGTTTATAATTTCATTTAATTCCTTAATAATTTGTTCCGTAAATTTATTATCAAATTTATTTAAAAAAAGTTTATCGTCAAAGTATAATAGCATTATTCAATAATTTTTTTCCCAATAATTTAATAAATTTGTAATTGTTCTCTTCACCTTTTATGTCATTTACCTTTTAGGTAATTTATTTAATATTTTCATGGACATTATTATGTGAACTAAAAGACACTAATTTTAATTTTGTTGAGGGCCTGATTATATAGTTTTTATACCTGGCGGTGTCTTACAAATTTGCATATTTCTAAAATATAAATCGCCGGCAGAGTCAATATTTTCAAAGGCTTAAAGTATGATTTACAGTTTTCAGTTGTTGTTAAGTTACCTAGGGATACTCACACATTTTCTTTTATAATGAGTAAGTATTGTGAATTCAGGCTGTTTCTCCACAAAATAATGCCAAATATTACAAAATTCAAGACTACATGTTAGATAAATTAAAAACAGTATAGAGTACTAAACAAACCGATCTCTTAAGTGATTCATGCCCTAGTTTGTCACCGTTAGAAGTGAAATATTTTCTTCAAATTTAAACGGAACTACATCAGAGGTACCCTCTTTCCAACAAAAAAAAGAATCATCCAAATCGGTTCACGAATGAGTTATTGCGTACCTAACATACATACAAAAAAAACAAACGGCGAATTGAGAATCTCCTTTTTTTTGAAGTCAGTTAATAAAGGTGTATGGAAAGAAGACATGCCACTAGATACTACACAAATTTGATTCAAAATGTATTAGTATTTAAGTACATTTGTAAAAAGCAATCCCTAAAAGATTCTTGCTCGTTCTTCTCTGAGAAGCACAGTGAACGAGCAGTACCTTAAAGATGACTTTTTCAAGTGTAAACTTATTTTACTTAAGGAATAAATTATTATTTGACTTTGACGGCAGTAATGCCATCTAGCGGTTTTTGTTATTTTATAGTGTAAATGTTAGGAATATTCACACAAACAAGGGATTATGCTACATAATTTGGATATAAGTGTTCACTTCCTATCTTATTAAAACCGGATGATTTTAATTGAGTACAGGCGTAACAAAGGAACGGGCCGGATAGGTACACACGAGACCCCGTGAAAATTAATGACGGGTGCAGCCAAATTATGATGTAACAAAAAAACCTCAGCTGAATTGTGAGCCATGAAGAGAGCGTTCAGTACAAATTCACACAATAAATTTGGATAAATTGCTAGAGAAAATGTAGGATGTATAGAAAAGAATTGGTTTGCCCACACCACGTTCTAATCTTGATAACCTTCGATATACTGGGTCGAAGCTTGTAAAGCATGTATATGCATATCGACGCTACTAAAAATGTAAAGAAAGGCGAGAAATTATATGTAATTCATATTACATAAAACGTAATTGGCTTATGATGGTTAATTCGTCAAGCCAGAGTACAATGGAAAAAGACCCGATGCAAAATAATTTAATCCCGCAAAAACCACCAAACACCAGAGTGGAATAGTTGTGGCGATATTGGCGATGGCAAACAATAATACCAAAAAAATATGATAGATGGCAGATTACAAGCAAAGTCTATGATTGCAACATAGTCTATGGCATTAAGAAATAGTAATTGGCAACGCTGATACAAAACTAAAATGTCTTCTGTAAATCAAATTTCTCAAAAGTACCTTTGTCTTGAAAACTGACATTGTGGACTCTGCTGTTAGGTTGAGTGTCAGCTACAAGGTGTTCTGTGTCGTTTTTTGGCTAATTTATTTATTTTTTATGTGTTGTTATATGTTGACTTATTTTATGTGTCTATTTAAGTAGTTTATGAGTGTTGTTAATTGTATTGGTAATTCGACAGCTCTGCAGCTTCAAAATTTAAAATTTAATAAGAAAATATTTTTTATACCACATTGTGCTCTTACATTACTCACTGAACATCAGTCTACAGAAGCTCTTAAAATTACTAAGCGGAAAACTCGATTCTGGCGAAAAGGGTAAAGGGTAGCACCATTAAGCAAAAAGATGAAGAAGAAGAAAATTGACACTGGCGATGATTGCCATAATTTTTATATTATTCCTATTAAATTCGCACTGGCACAAGCCTAGTGGCCGGAAATAATAATAACAATATTACAACTTTCTTCGATGCTCCCTTTGAGTTACCGAACAAATTTTCTGTAGGCACTCCCTCTATTTTTATGAAACTGGCATGAAGTGGTCATTGGCAGAATTGAAACATTACTCTCACAAGCCATTCGTTAAGAACTGAACACAACTTTAACTAATTGAATTTCTTGTGAAAAGGTGAAACAAGTTCTATGTAACAGCACATTTCAGTACCATTTCTTCGAGTGTGATAGAATATTCAGTGTAATGTGCAAAATATGTCCTGATCATGATTGCAACCCAACGCTTATTATTATTAACAATATAACAAGCAAGTGTGCGTTTATATATAATAATATAATAATATTCGTTCACGTCTCTACTCGTAAAATTTTATACTCAATATATTCTTTTTGTTCCGTTGAGCTGTCGTGCTTGGCCGAAGCCAGAAACGCTTGGACGTCTAAATGTCAAGACATTGATGTTCCGTCTTTTCCACACCAACAGAGTTGCTGGGACTATCCGTTCTGCACGATCGTTCAAGAAGAACTTATGCACTCTGCCAGCGACCTTAGAGTACAGGCTCGTCTCATAGCCTCCTTTGAAAATAGTCTGGGCATTAGGTACAGGCATTACCCTCGGCCAAATATCGGCACGTCATTAGAGGGCCTTTCCCTCACACTAGCTGTCTGCGTCCGATTGGGGGCAAGAACAGTCCACTCCCGTCAATGGACGTGTGGTGATGCTGTTGACGAGTTTGGTTACCATCGCCTCTCGTGTACTCGAAGCGCTGGCCGCATATCCCGACACGCAGCGCTCAATAGCATCATTATACGGGCCTTCACCAGCGCTAAGATACCGGCAGTCCTCGAGCTCACTGGCATCTATCGCAGTGACGGTAGGAGGCTTAACGGTATGACAGTCGGTCAATGGAAGCTAGGGAGACAGCTAGTGTCCTTGCAAGCTCCCATGTCCTTGCAAGCGTAGGCGGCGCAGGCTCTGTGGCCAGAACGGCCGTGAACCGCAAAACGCTCAAATAAGCCAACTTTGCTCAGTGCTACAGCTTTGTGCCTTTTGCGGTTGAAATCCTGGGTCCCACAAGCGAAACTTGTAGCGAACGAGCTGTCGTATCGCCTCGTAAAATAAGTGCACCTCCGGTCACCACAAGGCTGGCAGTTATTTCTGCCAAATAATAAGTTTAGCAATTCAAAGAGGAAATGTTGCCTCCCTTCTGAGCACCATGCCCCAGGGTACGGCCCTCGAGGAAATGTTCTATTTATAAACTTTCTTACTTTTTTTATGTATCTGCCTGCTACTATAATACAAAATATTTTTTATTCTTTTTATTCTTTATTCTTTTTATTCTTAATATATATACAGGTATATTTTCCATTAAATATTTATTTTGGTCGTAAATTGTCGTCGGAAAACAGGTTCCTTTAACAGATGGATAAACTGCCGTTGTTTTTTTTGATGTGAAATGTGTGCTTGTTCTTAAGACGTGTTATACATTTTAGTGAGAAAATTTACTTAGTCACACTAT